GTGGGGGGGGGGTGTTGACGGCGTTGCTGCATGCAAACAGCACGTGGGGAAAACGCAGCCCCTGAGCAAGGAGGGAGCGGTGGCTGCGATGTCCATTTCGACGGAGCAAAAATCCAGAATGATGTGATTATCAGAGGAGGATTATCTACATTTTAATGTGTTTGATCACAGCGCACTTTAAATTATGGGTTTAGTCCAAAAAAACGACCCCAGACAGGGGTTGGTCGCGTCTCCCGCCTGATGACGGGCTGCAAAACTGAGTTGCTGTGATCGATGAGGATTTTCCTCCTCCTCCCCAGGTCCCTGCAGACTCAGCTGGGCTGCGTCGCCCTCGCACAAGCGCTTGGTCTGTGCCTGTGTCTGTGAGCCCTCGGTCACCCGTGGAGGAAAAAGGTCCCAGCTGGGAAGGCAGGAAGCGGCCCCGCCACCGGCACTTATGCCGGAAGAGAAACCCGGTCCCTCCCTGCAGCCCCAACGAGCCGTAAAACCTTAAAAAAATCTCATCTCCCCTCCTGGGGAAAGCACCTGCTTCGACACAGCTGCTTGTCCAGGGGACACCTCCGAATCGAGGCACTTTCCTGCAGGAGGAGGAACCCGACGCCAGGTTATCGAGTGCTCCTGACTTATGCAAGAGGAACCTGACGCCCTGCCAAAGGGGCGACGCTGCAGGTGTCAGTGCACCAAATCCACCCCCAGGGAGCCCAAAAAGTCCCACGAGCCAGGCACGACAGCAGCCAAAACACTGTGAATGCATCCCAAAAAGTGAAACAGCCCCAAAAGACGCTGGTTTTGATTTCCTGCACTGGGGGAAGCCCCGACGTTACCCCGCCACGTGGGGCCATAAAGCAGCAGCAGAGTTAAGCCGGTGACTTGCTGTAATCCTCTTATCCCCGAAGGTTAATGAGCCTGGAGTGCCCAGGAACAGGCACTCGCAGTGCAGCCGCCTCTCCCAAAGCATCCGACACCTCCGCAGCCACCCGAAAGGCTGGAGCTGGCAGACAGGCTGCACCCTCCACCACGGATCAGCTGGCGACGAGATGTGCCCATGGGTCCTCAGGGCTGCCGGCACCCCCGGTACGACACCAAAGTGACAGTTTATTGACAGAAAGCAGGGTTTATCACGCACCAGAGAGCGACAAGCCAACGGTTTTGCAAGGCAGGGCTTGGAAACGTATCTTGCAGCGAAGAGCTGCTAAACGAGTTATTACATCTTATTGAGGTGCTTTGCATGGGGGTGGAGCGGGGCAGACATCTCCCAAACCTGGATTTTTGACTGCCCGCCGCGTGTGGGAGCAGCACGACACGCTCGTCCCAACCCATCACGCTCGTCCCAACCCATCGGCGGGAGCCGGGCTCAGCCTTGAGCCCTGCGGGCCGGGAGGAGTTGCAGCCGGAGGGGCTGACGCGCGAGATGAAGGCAAACCCCCAGGAAAGGAAACGCCATCTCCGATGTGGGATGGGAGCTCGGCTTCCCGGCGCTGCCCAGCAGAATAGGGATAGGGCTGGGACCCAGCTGGCCTGTCCCAAAACCAGGCTGCAACTCCCACTGGTTCTGGTGGTTTTATTGCGTCTACTGCCCGTAAGCTCGTTTCCAGCCTGACCAGCCAAAAGTCAGCCTGGGAGCTACCGGAGAGGCTAGTTTCATCCTTGGTGATTCAGCACAGAGGTTTCAACTGAGCCATTTTATGTCGAGCACAGAGGAGCGGACCCGTGCAGGGGCAGCCCCCAGCCCACCTGCGGATGACGGAGATGCCACGTCCAGCGTGGTCCCAAATAAACCACAGTGGCACCAAACCAATGCCAATCCCTCAGGGCTGCTGGCTTTTGCTGCCTCCAAACCCTGGGCTGGCCAGGATGTCCCCAAAAAAGGGGACGGTGGGAGCAGGGATGGGCACGGGGCGATGCTGCAGCCTGGGACACGCGTGCCTTCAGGATGTCCCTGCCGGCTGCCTGGCGAAGCTGGGCCGTGGAGGACGGCTCCGAAACGGGGAGATTCAC